GCCTGTTCCTCCTGTCGGCGGGCCTGCTCCTCTTGTCCGCCCCGCAGCTGCTCTTCCAATCGGCGGGCCTGTTCCTCCTGTCCGCTCTGCAGCTGCTCTTTCAACTGACGGACCTGTTCCTCCTGTCGGCGAGCCTGTTCCTCCTGTCGGCGAGCCTGTTCCTCCTGTCGGCGAGCCTGTTCCTCCTGTCGGCGAGCCTGCTCCTGCAGCATCACCATCAGAGCACCTAAGTCAGGTGCTGCAGATGTAGGAGCTACCGACGGGCCCGCAGCCGGTGGCTGGCCCTCCGACGTCTGCGGCGTTGCACCACCAAATCTTCGTTGGTCCGTCTCCTGCTGGCGTTGACTTCGGGTACGGACACCCTCCGTTTCCTCCTTAGGTAAAATCGGCATGATTTTATCCCACTTCTGACACCAATTGTTACGAGCTTGAGGTTCGTGACAATAAAAATTGCCGATAAAATTACCTAAATTAACACTTTAATTTACTTTACACAAATTAAAGTTAAAAACACTAATAATTAAACACACTTATTCACTTTATTCCGCTCCGAAGCTTCGCTTGTTTCGCCAAATCAACACTACTCCCATCGCATCTTGCAGCGCCTATATATTTAAATTAGCAAAGAAATATCCAGAATGTTCAAGTAAACACGCGCAAGGTACCGAGCGTTCGAGTTTCGACTAGGCGCTGTCGGTTGAGTGATTTGTGATGTCATTTTCTCAATACTCCCCTCGCTCTCGTTCCTGACACTAGATGGCGCTAGTGTATCGTCGACTTGAGCGCGTAACAGTATTATTAATATCGCATATTTAAACGTTTTCAAGCTACTGGACTAGAAAGGATACGGTATTAACATCAATGGCGAGAACATCACTCACCTTCGATTTGCCGACGATATAGGCCTTACGGCAGAATCGCTGGAGGACCTAAGCACTATGCTCAATAACCTCGAAAGTGCCTCCCAATGCAACGAATAGATTATAACATGAACATGTACAAAACAAAGATCATGTGTAACGTCCATGTTACACCTATGCCGGTAGTTGTTGGGAGCACTAAGCTCAAAATTGTTGACGATTTTGTTTACCTGGGACAAATAGTCCGACTAGGTAAGTTCAACTTCGATCAAGAGGTCAATCGACGGATTCAAATCGGCTGGGCAGCGTTCGGAAAATTACGTCACATCTTTTCGTCAGCTATACCTCAAAAACGAGACTGTACGACCAGTGCGTGTTGCCAGTGATGTCTCACGGAACTGAGATGGGGTCCTTCACTGCTAGCCGTATGAGGACGCTCCAAGTCGCTCAGCGAGCTATGGAGAGGGCTATCCTCGTCTCCTAGCAATGAGGATATCCGCAGCAGAATCAGAGTGACCGACACAGCCCTAGGGATTAGTAAGCTGATGTTGCAATAGGTCGGCCATATTGCTCGAAGAACAGACAACCGATAAGGAAAAAAGGTTCTCGAGTGGCAGCCTCGTACCGTTAGGCGAAGTGTAGGGCGATCCCCACTAAGTGAAGTGACAACTTGGTAGAAATGCGGGAGTCGATAGATGCAGGTGGCTCAAGACCTTGCTTTGTGAGAGATCTTTAGGAGAGGCCTATGTTCAGCAGTACAACAGTGGACTTGTGAAAGCCTGTAATGATGATGATTCGTTATTGTGTTGATCCTTTTGTTCTTTTTTATATAACAGGGGACAAACGTACATCACCTGATGGTAAGTGTCAACCGCGGCCCATGAACAACTGCAAAACTAAAGGAGTTGCAGATGCGTTTTGCCGGACTTTCAAAAAGGAGTAGGGCCTTTTCTTGGTGGTCCTTAAGAAAAATCGCTGGTGGTAGCCGATTCCACAAAAAATTGAATCTGAGTTCGGGTATACGTAAAGTTATTAGAAAAATAATATCATCGTAAATATAATACGGGATTGTCCCAAAAATAATAAAATACTTGGCCACCTAAAACTTTTAAAACTGTTATTCTTTTACTTTCAACTGACACTAGATGTTTATTTGACCGATAATTATAATTTCAGTGTTTTAATTACGTATTTGTAAAGACATTTTAAAAGAGTGGCCTACATCTATACTCCTTTTAATATAAGAATATCATATTATGGTAACATCTATTCAAAAGTGTTCATCACTCCGTTTTTCTTTTCGACCCAACAAAACTACAACCCAATGAAACACTAACAGCAATTTGTGCTTGAAATGTTTTTTAATTAGTACCATGATAGTGACAAAAAATATAATATATATAGTTACTATTAAAAACACGGAAGCAAAATATATATGACAGCCTGGATTCTTCGAGTAGTCCCTATTGTTGAATTTACCACGTCGTCGAGCTGACAATAAAAACATTTACATAATAAGAATTTTAACCTCTTTCTTTGTCCCGTGACCCACATATGTGTCATTGCTGTTGTCTTAATATTGTGTCTTCAAATCGAACAGTGAAAATGTAAGTTACCCTGTATTATGTTCAAATTAATTTATTCTTTAGTATCGTCCTTATTAAAACTAAAAATAATACAAAAACTGCGGTTGCCAACCTGTCTCTCACGCGTGGCAAATATGGCATAATTCCCCTTCGAGACTAGCTATGGGGGAGGCCTGTCTTGTAAGGCCCATGTATGCAGTGGACTTATATATGCCGTAATGAAATGAAATAATGTTATCTATTCTTAAAATACCTACTAGAAATCCTCAAACGTTAGCTGAATAACGATCCGCACACAATAGCATAATGTTAAGAGAAAGTGAGCTGGATCTAGGCGAAAGCGATTAACAAAGGAAGGTATGTTTGCATTGATTTGAAACCGCTAGTTAAGCTATGGCCGGTTATTTGATTTTGTGTATATATATATAATTGAAGTGTATGTCTGTTATATGGAAATAACTGGTAGGCTCAGGGGGCTACTTGCATGCTATTGAGACATAAACATTTAAAAAAGGAGATGAACGAAATTGGGTGCTTGACATCGTTCTAAACAGTTATCCAGAAATATGTAGGTAATAAAACGATAAATTAAAAGCATAATTAAATAGTTTATATTCCTGTAGTACTTGGAACAATCATGAAAACATTTTATAAACTGAAAAACGAAAGCTAATGCTTTTACTATAGCAGAAACGAAACGTTTTTATTTTTTTTTAATTAAGAATTTTATCTTGGACGATTGTCTATTAAGCCACGTCTATTTTCATTCAGGATTTTACTACATAACCTACAAATCACAAAACATAAATTAAAGAAAACCCCAGGCCCTGCAAGAATATGATTTATTAACGTACTTATCAGATATTTAAATCTTCAAAATAAGACATATTTGAATTTTGTTCACGCCGGGCCCAAACCTGTATGGAATCAAGTTCATCTCCTTTATCTGTTTGTCTGTCTGGCGGGATAATCTAGGAAATGTTTATACGTGGTAGAGCCACGCTGCAACTATATTATGGTTGTAGCACGAATGGGTCGGCTCGACGTAGTATTTATTGATAGATCAATTTCAATGTGCTAATGTAAAATTAAAATAAAATTGTAAAATATCTGTGTCATAGATTTTGAATCTCAAAATAGAGTTGTTGCTTGCAGGTGTCCATGAGATGCAATACTCATTTACCATTCGGTTAGCTTTTTTTATAAATCTAAATTGACAAACGAACTCAAAGTCCGTCAGTAAGTATTCCACGGACACCTGCAGCCTTAAACAAAGAAGGCTAAAGATTGTCACCTTGCTGCACCTCTAAGGTCTAAGAAGATTCCGTTTTCTTTTTTTTTATATGATAGGGTGACAAACGAGTACACAGTCCACCTGATGGTAAGTGGTTGCTGTGGCCCATAGCTACTCTCGATTACGAATCGAAATGCAGATGCGTTGTCACCCGTGAGGACTAAGATGGAATGTCTCGCAAAAGGGTCTCCGGTTCTCTACACTCACCATACGAAACACAGCAGTATTAAGCTACTATTTTACGCTGGTATTCTGTGAAAGCGTGGTCCTCCCCCGGTCGAGCCGACCCATTAGTTCTACTAATATAACCGCAGCATTGTTCTACCACATATAACACCTTTTTCTCTTCACAGCTCGTAATTATACTGGTCCTCTTAACCCTTCACACCAAAAGTGAAAGTGCAGTGAAAGCAATGTTATTAACGGCAGATTTAGATAAGAATTAATTACCCAAAAAGACTTGGCAGGATAGGCACCACTTAGTAATAAATTAAAATAAAAAGCGTTTCAATAAGACTGGTTAAACTTTAAATACACGAAGGATTGCCATACGAATAAAAAGAAAACCTTCAACATATGAAATTGATTTTGGGATATATACTTTATATGTGATAGAGCCACGCTCCAGCTATATTTTGGTTGTAGCATGAATTGATCGGCTCGACCGGGATAGGGCCACACTCTCACAGTATTCTGCCACTACTATTACTGCTAACAGGAAATGTAACATAGCAGCTTAGTGCTGCTGTGTTTCGTATGGTGAGTGTAGAGAACTGGAAAATCATTATACCGGAAACGACGCATTCCATCTTAGTCCTCAGGGCCGACAACGCATCGGCATTTTGATTCTTAATCGCGAATCGACATAGACATCTACATTGTTATTATATTATATATACATCTACAATGTAGATGTCTATGGACCACAGTATCAACCTACCATCAGATGGACTGTGTATTCGTTTGTCATCCATATTCTATAAAATAATATTACTTCAAAAGCTAATATTTTAAAGATAAATAAAATGCACAACAATCAAAACAGATACAGTACAATCGGATCAAAACGGCGAAATTATTTACTAATAATAAAGATATTATCTGTGATAGTATATTGCAAATCGCTGCTTAGGTTTAGGATAGGCTTTTGCATGGTAGAGCTGCGCTGCAGCGTATTATAGCTGCAGCACGAAGTCACTTGATATCCACAAGAATAACAAGTAGTCCCTAGTCCCAAGAGGTATTAGTTTAAGCACTTACCAAGTTTGTAGATCAGTCCATCCTTGAGCTTCTTGCCGCGGAATTCCGGATAGTTGTAGGCTCGCCAGCTAGAGCCACCGGAGTTCACGCCATCAACGACCGAATCGCTCATTAAACAAGGATCATTATCGCATCTCCAATCCGTTTTCATAGTGATCGGGTCCTTCACGCATTCACTGGAAATAAAGGCGCTGGTTAGATTTTGATATGACTGCAATAATACGTATTACTTGTGGTATAAGAGTCAATTTTAAATAGCTCAGGTTCTCTAAAACGGCACAGGCAAAATGTTACTGTGTCAGAATTTGTCACTTTTGAATTTAGCAATGTGAAATAAACCCCAGACGATTGAGGACTATGATATTAAGGTGTGTATTGGATTAGCAATTAGTAACCGGATTTATTCGCTTTGAACTAAAAAACAGGCACGGTTTGTTTAATATGTGACAATCTTTTCAAAAACAATTCCTTTGTCCGCGCGTATGAGACTGTACCCCTTCTAAATGGTTGGAACGATTTTGATGAAATTTTGAGTGTTATCTGGGAGCACGGCAGTGCCCCCGCCAAGTCGAGCAAAAAAAGCGGCACGGCCGTACCATCTTTTCTCGAAGCAATTCAGGCCATTTTTGACCCCTTATAACTTCGTGGTCAATAAAACTAGAAGCCTGAATTTTCAGCAACCGAGTAAGCATAGTATAGACATGGTATATTTCAAATTTCATTCAATTTGAACCAGGAGTTTAAGAATTGTAACCAGTCAAAGTTTCTTAATTTTGTCACTCACTGACTGACCGATCATGTATCACCGTACCTATGGTACGTTGTTGTTACTCAAGAAGAAAAATTAGTACTATCTTATATACAAAAAGAAATGAGATACCATTAAAAATATAACCTGTAAAAAAACCAAGTCTCGCAACACCTAGTAACTAGCACTACCAAATTCAGGGCCAGCTGCTTGTTACGGGTAGGAAAGTTTGTTTATTAGGAATTTGGTCAGGTGACAATGAAACAATTTTCACAAAATCTATTGAAAAAGATGATGATTTTCGGAAAACTATGGAGCCAAAGTTAGTACTTTTTTTATAAAAATTGCTTACTCACAGAAATTGTTAACAGCAGATATGCACGTGGGATGGCGATCCGAGATCTAAAACTGGAATGTGACTCCATGTCTGTAATTGATGTACCAGACAAAGAAAATAACAGACCTGATTTATTCAGGACTGACCATCAAACGTCTAACGAGCCTGACAAAAATTTTGAAAGGATTCACCAACTCAGTATGGAAGAGTTTTAGAAATTGTTTCATAGTTGATTGATTGGTTAAGAGTAGTTTTAGATCATTATTGTAATTATTTAACTTTGGATACTTACGCATTTGTAAAACTTACATAAAATTATTAAAAAGAAATTTAATTTAACATTTTATATGAAGTTTTTTTTTTGAAATAATCGAAATCGGTAAAAAAACCAATATACGTATAAATTTAATACAACATCATACAAAATATTAACTAAAGAAGTAATTTGTAACTACTCAATACAAACTAAAAACAATTCAAATCATAAGAAGTGGTGGTAATCGCCTACTGCGAACTATTTTGTACTGTGGTCTGTAGCAGCGCGGTGCCGGGATCAAGTGAGTTCATTGTTTTGGGGTGTTTGCGTTGTTTATAACGCGCGCGCTGGAGATGCGCTAAATACCTACAGCGTCAGTATAAGAGCGCATTAAGCAATCTAATTTAATATAATACGTATTACTTGTGAGATACATTGTGGTTTCATGCGATGGCCAAGTCAATCTATATATTTAAAACATAAAACACTTTTAACATTGATATGGTCACTATAAAATGTTGTTAGGTTAGCTAATTACGTAATAACCTAAAACAGAAGGACCCTTAAGTAGGAACTGAATAAATTAACCGACTTGGTATTACATGGATCCCACAACTTTTTACGGTAGAAGAACTGAGTTGCGAGACTTGGTTTTTTTACAGGTTATGTTTTTAATGGTATTAAGATGATTCGAGAATGGTTTAGATTCACAATTGGATGAGAAAAATGGCGCTGTAATCCAGAAATAACTCGTGCGAAGTCCGCCAGAACGCTAGTCCATCATAATAATCTAAGTACCACCGTTTTAAAATGAAGCTGAATTTTCGTAATTAATATATTTTAGTATCTTTAATAGTTAATACTACAATAACAATTTATAAACAAGTAGTAAAATTAAAAATGTTGTACAAACTACATACTTCAATACAAATAAAATGAAAACATCAATGTATTCGAAGTCAAATAAATACGCATTATTAAAGATAGCCCAAAAACTACTGGTCAGGTCTTGATCAAATTTATAATGCACCACATTAGTAGAACTAGCTTTCAAACAAAAAAGTATCATCAAAATCGGTTCACCCAGAAAATAGTTTCGATGAAAACACACATAACAAAAAACGTACAGTCGAATTGACTACCTCCTCCTTTTTTAATTTGGTTAAAAAAGGACTAGAGTCTAGTCTAATATTTAACTAACATCATGTTCTATAAATATTACCGAATTACATTGCAAATCCGAGCAGATCAGCCTTCATAAATGGCAAACAAATTCGGACGAAGTGATATCAACAACTAATACTAAATAATAATGTTTTCTAGACCGAATTTCTAAGAATATATACGCAAGCTCAGGTGTACTCTGTTCCTTCACTCTCATAGTCCGGTGGGATGGTAACCCGACACGAGCGGAAAGGGTTCAGTCGAAAGTCGAAGTCGGAAAACATGTAAAGCCTTTACATATTTTCCAAGCTCTGAGTGTGAAACACCGCCAACTTCCTAAATTCGGGATACTACTGTGAATTTCATTACAGACAAACCCATAATGATTTCTTATATTTACGCGAACATTGCACATGATTAAAACTACTTTTACGGATTTTATCGCGTTTATTTTTACTTTTTATTTTTAATTCCCGACGTTTCGGGCGCTTTCCAGCACCCATGGTCACGGGGGACTGAGATGACTGACGTCCCGATGTCATTGTTAAACCCGGAGAACCTTCAGATTTTTTAATTATAATATTTAATTATAATAATTAAAAAAATTATAATATTTAATTATAATAATTAAAAAAAGCTGAAGGTTTTCCGGGTTTAACAATGACATCGGGACGTCAGTCATCTCAGTCCCCCGTGACCATGGGTGCTGGAAAGCGCCCGAAACGTCGGGAATTAAAAAATAAAAAGTAAAAATAAACGCGATTAAATCCGTAAAAGTAATTTTAATCATGTACAGACAAACCCAATAACTGATGTTGATCCTACCTGGGATTCGATCCCCGGACCTCATGATGAGCATCCTAACAACTACCGGCATGTGAAGTGGACGTTAGACAAGATCTTCATCTACCTATGTTCCCAGTGGAGAGAATATTATAAAATGTGAGTTTTTTTTTAAATAATTAGGTGACAAACGAGCACCGTCCACCTGAATGTAAGTGGTACTGTGGCCCATAGACCTTTATCCTTAATTGAAGATAAAAATGCAGATACGTTGTCACCCCTGAGGACTACGACAGAATGCCTAATTTCTGATAAAAGGTCTCCGGTTCTCTACACTCAACATGCGAAACACAGCAGCATTAAGCTGCTATTTTACGCTGCTATTTCCTATGGAGAGTGTAAAGAACGGAATCACTTATTTACTGGAAACGAGGTAACTATTCCATCTTAGTTCTAAGTAAAAAAAAATTTTTACAGCACACGACATCCACTTACCATCACGTACTGTGTGCTCATTGGTTACACTTATTCTATAAAAACAATACTTGAATGTTTTAAAATAATCCTCCTATATCTTTTACTGCTTTTGATAAAAATAATCCGGAATACCTTAGAATTTTTTGGGTTTTCTGACGATTACCTTACAATTTCTTACGTGTAAGGCCGTATGTGTTTAAATTACATAATATACTATATATATATTAGCTTAAACACAAAAACATTACAATTTTCTACAATGCCGAGACCTCTAACGATGCTTCAATAAAGAAACAGTAGAACTTTACGATTGAGACAAATGACGTCATTTAGGGCTCCACGTCCATTTGATTGACGTCTCAAAGGACGGCCATTAGTGATGCGAGATCTCACAGAAGCATAACTCCTATGTTAATTCACTTGCGTATTCGCTATATTGGTTTTAATCCAGGGCTTAGGTTACACAAGAGATTAGGAGCGAGTCAGAAGCTATTTCGAGATTATTGCTTTCAAGGATGATACTAATTAAATGTTCACTATTAGTACAATTTGTTTACGTCATTGTAAGGAGTTTATAGTTACATGGAGACTTTATATCATGTAAAGACTGTAAAAAAGAATGTAAGTTTTTTTGCATGCGATGCTTCTTCACATAACGCCAGCTTTATTAGGTCACGGTGGATGACGGACGAACCTTTAGCGATCAAGTTATGATAGAAAAGCCATTTAAAGGATCTCCAAGGTAGCCGTAGATAACTATGACATTGGGACGTCGCAAACCTCAGACCCCCGTGATAATGATCGCTGCAAAGTACTTGAAACGTCGGCAATATAAAAGTTATAATTAAACGCGATAAAATCCGTAAACTAAACTAAAGTGTTCGCGTAAATATAAGAAATCACAATTTTCCCGATAGTCATATTTAAGTTTTCTGTCACTCATTAATGCCAGCTTCTCTGCGAAACAGACCTCCCCCAAAGATTGACTCAGAGTGTTATCACTTATCAGGAAGATGCTTCTACCCGGCGACTAAACTGAGTTTTGTTGACTCAGTTTAGTCGCCACTTATGTACCTTATTATCTCTATATATTTTGGCCGCAAGGCTGTAGAGCCGCGGGTTCGAATCCCAAACGGAACAATATTTGTATGGCCTACAAATATTTGTTCAGGTTCTGATTGTTCTTTTTCATATTTGTCCTTGCGCAATATATGTGTGTAAAACGCCTCCGCGACACAAAAATATCCTAGTGTGGAGTTCAGGTTTTACGAAAAGAAAATATAATTATTAACAATTGGCGGCCTTTCATCTCAAGGGTACCTCGTTTAGAACAGGGGCGGTATCAGAGGCAGCTGAATTAAGTAAGTGGCACAAATATGAGTCTCTGAGAGATGACTACATATTTGTGCCA